GCATAAAAGGCCTGATTTACCTGGCAAGTGCGCAAATTATGAATGGAAAATTTTAAGCTATCTACATAAATAGCTTCACGCTGAGTTTGAAAATTCCTTCTTTCCTTCTACGGCTTTCTTTTTCCTTTTTCCTTTTAGGAGGTTTCTGGCCAGTAGTGGGAGGCTCAGTGCCTGTGTACCATTACACTATTTTTCTTAATTTACTTACATTTTTTTTTCTTATTTTGGTAATGAAGTTATTCCCAAATTTGAGTTGTCGAGGTCAATTCTCTTTTAGCTAGGTTGCTAATGGACTCCGCGGTCATAGTAATTCAAGAATTTCATATTAATTTATTTTATTCTTTGTGGATCCTGTTTAGCTTGTGAAGGTAACAATGCATCTTCACTCTCCACATAAAATCCTAGATTGGGACTTTCTCGACTATGGCTTATGTGTGAATGTAAAGAGATCAATTTCTACTAGGAAGACTAGCAACATGTTCGCTAAAATCATATACCGCAAGTGCATGGGTTGCGTTCAAGTTATAAAATGGATTTTGAGTCCGAGTTGATCACTCGAAGAGTGTTTCTTCCAATCACACGTCAATTGATTCAATTTTAATGATAACACACAATTTAATTTTGAAGTTAGAGGCGAAAAGAATATGATTTGACGTTCAACTAAAACACACGATCACAACAATGATGAGAATTTGGATTTTAATCGAGTTGAGATTCATGATTCCACTTGACTATCACTAAATTAATTTCTCAACAAACAAATTAATTAAAATGATTCCACTTGATTGTCACTTTGTTCCAGTGCAGTTGGTTCGCTTATGTATACTATGGTTTGTACAAGATCATATTTGGCGCATGTAGTCAGTGCAGTTAGCAGATACACGGTAAATCCTGGCAGGGAATATTGGGAAGCAATATAGTGGATATTCAGATACTTGAGAGGCTCTTCTAATGCTTATTTGTATTTTGGTAGTTGATTCAAATTATACAAGGGATCTTGATAAA